GCGCTGGCGCTCAGGATTGCCGTGGGATGCGTGTGGTCTAGGCAAGGAGAGGAGGGCCCGTGTCTTGGTGTTTTGAGCTTGTCCGCTTCCAGCAGACGGTAAATGTTGACACGTCTCTGGGTGCAAAGCCTCCAAAAAACTGGTGTGGAAGGAGCTGGAAGCCTGACAATGGGAAGAAGGAGACTTAAGAGCATTCACCCCTTCCGTAAAGCTGCCCTTTAGAGGACAACCGCTGCCCTACACGCCTCTGATCTCTTTTCTGATGGCTGTTGCATGAAGTCAGCACGAGGCCCTGCATTTCTTCTTTTCAGGGAAAATATCTCTATTGCTTTGCACGGGAAGAAGGAAGCAAATAGCAATTTGTAGCCATTCCTGGGTCCAGCCCCAACTTTTCCCTGGCGAGAGCGGGACTTCTGGAGTGACATCAGGGCAGGGCATCCCTCGTGGCTGCTGTCTGCTCTGCCCAAACCCCCGCCTTCAAAGGAGACCTGATGCATTTTATAGAGACAAAACCACAAGTGCTCAGTTAGCTGAACACGTTACTCACGGGAAGAAACACCCCCAGCGCGAAGGCAAATTCAGGCAGGCAGCCTGGGGTGTTCGCATCCCAGATACATACAAATTACCAGCACTGCAGATTATTCACTCTACCAGTCACACCATGCAGAGCTTCTCTGGAAGGAAAAAAAAAAAATCTCAATTATTATGTCTGGCAAATGGAAATTTTAGCATAGCTTCAAGCATCAGATCCTAACCTGGGGGCTGTGGGGCTGGATGGCGTTGAGGTGATGACGATAGGGGTAAGAGGTACCTGCCATGCATGTGTGCAGCCTGCCTGTCCCTTTGAGGGGGGTTCTTGAAGGACCCCACATCATTTGGTGATGGTTTTTGAGGTGGGGGAATCAAGCCTGAATAGGATGTACAAGAATTGTTTCAGCTGGGACCCGAATCTGAAGCCAGATGGATGGAGATGAGGTGCTAAACTTCAGACGCCCTCAGATTTTTTCTGCTCAGGTCTCTTGGATTTTATATAGCTGAACATTTAAAGACAGATTACTAGTGTTTTCCAGGAGGGAAAACCGCTCCACTTGGGCATGACAATCCACAGGGACCACACGTGTTTGGTGAAACCCTTTTCTCTGGGCGCTGACCAGACCTGGGCACACGGCTGGGGCTTTATGCTTCTCGGAGGCTGGGCGTAAGGTGACTTAACCGAGCTGGGATTAGCCAGGTCTGACAGCCCTCTCTCCGACTCGTGTCCCGTACTATTTATAGTCCAATGGGCTGTCAGGCTCTGTTTCATTGTAGAAGTAAAGCGCAGGGCACTGACCATTTCTCTTCTCCCCGAAAGAGGTGAAAATTCAGATTCTCTTTGCTGGAGAAGGACAGGAGAGAGGAGAGCTCCATCACACACCCGCCTGGCCTGAGCGGCAGAGACTTGGGATTTAATCCACCTCAACAAAGGCTGAAGTCTTTATTAGCAAACACAGCCTCTGTCTTGCTGGGGGCAGTTCCAAGCTGTCTGCAGCCCTTGTGTAAAAAAGGGAGATTATTTCTTGGCCAAAGCACTAAAATATGGATAGGAAGAATAGGGATTTAAATGCCCATCCCTCCTGTGCATTATTGCACTTGGTGTCCGTCCCCAGCACATCTAGACCCGGGGTAACGTTACTACTCCCATCCCAAAACAAGGCTGGGTTAATCCCTTTAAATGTTGTCTTAGAACCTTCTTCTTGGAAGTTTCTTTATATTTTTTCTGGCACTCAGCGCATTTTATGTGGCGCAAGGAATGCTGCCTAAGAAGTATCTTTCCTATCATATTTCTAAGAAAATACCAATGGACTCTAACATTCATAAAAAAAAAAAGTCTCCCTTTAAGCATTAATGAGAGGTTAGTCCCACCGTAATCTACATGACGTGTAAATTTTTAACCCTTAGACTATGAAGGCAAGAGTACCTTCCTAAGAGTACCTGATTTAGCTGTTAAATTCACTGGAAGGATGGACTGGGCCATAAAATCGGCCTGGATTATTTCATAGTTTAATTCAAAATTAGCTTTCCTGTGACCTATATTTGGCTTTGGGACACTAAAAATTTTGCGTTAGCCTTGTAATTGCACAGCTGACACAGGTATAAATATTCTGGCCACAACATGTTATATTTTTTTTTTACGCAAAGAAAGTTTCATGGTATTACCAAGGGACGTTACTTATGGTTTCCTTGTCCTCCTAGGACTTGAACCCCACCTCCCGTTAAATGAGATGATGTTAATAAACCACAGATTCTTGAGCAGCCAACATATGTGGTGCAGGTGCAGAAATCTCGTTTGCTCTATTTGTTGCTTGCTCCTGGGCTAACGCATTTCCAGCGAGGCAGAAACACGGGTCGGTGCCTGCGGGGCTCTGCCCAGGGCCACGTTTGCCCCGTGTGGCCCCCTCCGATTCCAGCCCTGTCCTGTCACCCCCAGACTGCCATAGGGGGTCCAAGCCCCACTTGGCCTCCCCCTGGACCAGCACTGCCATCATTTTCAATGTCTGCCAAAGCATCTCCCTCTATCCCTCCATCTTCCTCCCATCCCTCCATCTCCAGTCTCTCCATCTCCCCCATCTCCCTCTCATGCCTCATCTCCTATCACTCCATCTTTTATCCTTCCACCTTCCTCCCATCCCTCTGTCTCCAATCTCTCCATCTCCCCCATCCCTCCATCTCCCATCTCTCCTCTTTCTCCTCTCTGTCCATCTTTTATCCTTCCACCTTCCTCCCATCCCTCCATCTCTCCCATCTCTCCTCTCTCTCTGTCTTTTATCCTTCCATCTTCCTCCCATCCCTCCGTCTTCCATCCTGCTGTCTCCCTCCAACCTGTCTTCCATCCTTCCATCTCCCCATCCCTCCATCTCTCCCCCACCTCTCCATTTCTCCCATCCCTCCATCTTCCTCCCATCCCTTTACCGCCCATCCTTCCACCTCCTTCCCATCCTTCCACCCCTCCATTTCTCCCATCCCTCCACCTTCCCTCCCTCCCAGCCCCGTCCCCCATCTCCCCAGCAAACC